TTTATGTTTTTCTTCTTTATTTTGATGAGTAGGTTTGTTAACTTTCTTTGTGGTTACCTTGAAATTTACCCTTATATTCCTAGGTTTGAACCAGACTGTTATTACTTGGTATCGCCTTGCCTTCCTCTCCATTAGAAGGTTCTATACCTACATTGTTTATTCCCTCTTTTATTGTTCTGATGTTGTTTACAGATTAACCTCTCTGGTTACCTGTTGTAATTCTTTTGGTTTTGGATAGTCCTTGAGAGTTCATTTTGTAGGTTGGTATCTGTCTGGTACAATCCTGCATCTTAGATGCAGCCTGTGGTCTGATGTTGTTTGTTCTCAGATCGAAGGACTCCCTTTAACAATTCTTGTAAGTTTGGTTTAATTTTGACATAGTCCCTTAATTTCTGTTTATCTGGAAGTGTTCTAATTTCACGATCATATTTGAATGAGAGTTTTGCAGGATATATTATTCTTGGCTGGCAACTTTTTCTTTCAAGGTTTTATGTATGTCATCCCATTGCCGTCTTGCCTGTATAGTTTTTGCCGAATAATCTGAGGTTAGTCTTATTGCTTCTTCTCTGTATATGACTTTTTGTTTCTCTCAAGCTGCTCTCAGGATTCTTTGTCTTTGATTTTAGTGAGTGTGATTATGATATGCCTTGGTGATTTTCTTTTGGGGTCCGTCTTAGTCATCTAGTGCTGATCTAACAGAAATACTGCAAGTGGATGGCTTTCACAAAGAGAAATTTATTTTCTCACAGTCTAGTAGGCTAGAAGTCCAAATTCAGGGCGTCAGCTCCAGGGGAAGGCTTTCTCTTTCTGTCAGCTCTGGCAGAAGGTCCTTATCATCATCAGTCTTTCCCTGGACTAGGAGCTTCTCTGCGCAGGAACCTCACGTCCAAAGGATGCGCTCTGCTCCCGGTGCTTCTTTCTTAGTGGTATGAGGTCCCCCAACTCTCTACTTGCTTCCCTTTCATTTTATCTCTTGAGAGATAAAAGGTGGTGCAGGCTACATCCCAGGGAAACTCCCTTTACATTGGATGTGACCTGGGTAAGTGTTGTATTACAATCCCACCTTAATCCTCTTTAACACAAAACTACAACCCAAAATGGAGGACAACAACACAATACTTTGAATCATGGCCCAGCCAAATTGATACACACATTTTTTTGGGGACACAATTCAATCCATGACAGGATCTATCTTATATGGGGTTCATTGAGCTTTTTGGATGGCCAGCTTTTCATCTTTCATCAGCAGTTCTTCAATGATCCCGTCTGTGTTTTCTGTTTTCTTCCCCTGTTCTGGAACTGCAATCACTTGCAGATTTTTGCTTTTGATTGTATCTCACATAATTCTCAGGATTTCTTCATTTTTCTTTGCTTTTTTTTTTCTGATTTTTCCTCAAATAGAGTTGTATCCAAGTGTTTGTCTTCGATTTCTCTGATCCTGTCTTCCATCGTTTCAAACCTGCTCCTCAGCCCTTCTCTGACACCGTCCATTTCTGAAATCTTGTTCTTTATCTTTTGGATTTCTAATTGTTGTTTTTGTATGACCTCTAGTTGTGAATTTATTTTAGCATTTTGTTCCTGTATTATTTTCTTGGATTCTTCCATTTTTTAGTCTGTATTTTCCATGAATTTGTCTGCATTTTCCATGAGTTTGTCTATTTTTTCCTCATTTTTCTCTGTTTTTTGCTTTAATTCTTGGATAGCTCTGAATATTAGATATTTGAATTCCCTATCAGGTAGTTTTAGTGCGTTTTCTTCTACTGAAAGTCATCTTGTGTTTTATTTTGGATGCCTACTGGAACCATCCTGTCCTGTTTTTGGATATTTTTTTATATTGTCTGCTGTCTTTGGGGCATTTGGTAGTTATTTTCCTCATTTATTGAGAATTGTATTGAGATTGTAGATTTGTTTGTTTCATCCTGCTTTTTTGTTTCATTTGGTTATGTCTGAACAGGTGGGCTGTGCGTTCTTTGTTATTTGCTCATCTGTAGGCACAATTCTTTCCACCTCCTTCTCTAATGGGCAGAGTCAGTCACTCAGGTATGGTACAGCTGGGCAGGTCCAGCTGAAGGGGAGTTGCTGGGATGGGTTGTTTGTGGCATGTACTAGGGCTGACAAGGCAGGCAGGGAATCGGTGCAGGGAAGGTTCTGGTAGGCCATGCCTGTGCTGCTTGGGAGTGTGATGTTCAGTGCATGGTGCAGGTAGGCAGGAAGGAGGGGGGAGATTGTAATAGGTGGAACTAAGTTGGGTATGGGAAAGAGCAGAGAGAGGAGAGAGGAACAGGGGCCAAACACACACACACACAAACAAACAAACAAAAATGAGTGCTAAAGGAGATTGCTGTTGAAGTGGAGAGATGAGAGACTGAGAAATGCAGTAAAACAAAAAGGGGAAAAAAAGACAAAGGGTAAAAGAAGAAAAAAATGAATAAATAAAAATTAGAAAACAAAAAGAGCTCCCAGTGATCCCACCAGTGCGGCTGCAAGGACTGGGGAAGTTGCTCCCAGGCCATGAAGTACAGCCTGGCTAAAAGGGGTAGAGGTGTCACACAGTGCCAGCTATTCAGAAGACAGGAAGAGAAGGTAAGTACAGACAGACGAGAAAGTGTGAAATGAAGAAAGACAAAAAGAGAAAAAGAGAGAGAGGAAAACAAAACAAAGAAAGAAAGAAACAAACAAAAAACCCAAAAAACAAGAAAACAGAAATGCCCCCAGGGATGCCACTGTGTGTGTTCACAGAGTAAGGGAGTAGCTCCCAAGCCACACAGTACTGCCCAGCTAGAAGGGGCTTCCAAGCCAAGAAAAGAAAAAGAAAACAAACAAACAACAAAAGCCCCGGGTGTCCCACCAGCATGGCAACATGGACTGGAAAGCAGTTTCACAGTCGAGTGGTGTTTCACAGCCTTTCAGGAAGAAACAAAGATGGCACATGGAGCCAGGTATTTGGGAGAAAGGAGGGCCAGGTGGTGAGAGGTAAGGAAGAAATCTAAGGAAGCAGAAGAAAGCAACACTAGTAGCCAACAAATGGCACTTAGGGAGCCAGCCAGTGTGGGCAGGTGGAATCCAAGCAGCTCTGGGGTGAA